TTTGCTAAGAACCTTTCAACCACCCATCAGCTTTTACGTGTCACTGAAATCATCGCACAAGGACTAGCCACCAAATCTGCAACTGGCATCATTTTCCTAGATATTGCTAAAGCCTTTGACAGGGTCTGGATTAATGGACTTATTCATAAACTCATTTACTATAACTTCCCGTCGCACCTTATTAACCTAATCTGCTCCTTTCTCTCTAATCGTAAATTTGTTGCCTGTGTCAAACATCATGATTCCTCCCTTAGACAAATGTCTGCTGGAATTCCCCAAGGTTCTGTACTTGCACCGCACTTATTCACTCTTTTTATGAATGATATCCCTGTCTCTCCTGAAACCTCTCTCAGGCTTTACGCCGATGACACAGCCGTTATTGCACAAAACAGAAATACTACTTACCTTGTTAAACAACTTCAAAGCCATATTAATCTTCTTGAAACCTGGCTTACTAATTGGAAAATTAAACTCACTGTTTCTAAAACCGAAGCTGTTTTCTTTTCGCGTAATCATTATCCCACCCAAACTGTCTCTATCTAAGGAGAGAATATCATCTGGACCAATAAAGCTAAGTACCTTGGAATTATTTTGGATAAAACGCTAAGTTACAATCAACACATCCTTCATCTTCCAGAAAAATTCAATTGAGCTATACGCATCTTTTACCCTTTAATCTGCAGAAAGTCTCATACTTCCATCCAAATAAAATTGCTGCTGTACAAAGTTTATCTTCTCCCACTCATAACCTACGCGAGTCCAGTCTGGGAATCAGCCGCCAAATCAACATCGCCATCCTTAGCCGCCTGCGAAATAAAACACTCCGTATGCTTATAAACGCACGCTGGTTCTTCCGCAACACCGATATTCATCGCTCTTTAAATTTGCAGACTCTCCCTCAATTCATTTCTAAACTAGCGCATAACTTTTACACTAACATCCCAAACATCGATAATGAGCTGCTTAAACGACTCCCAGAATATGATATAAACAATCCGAAGAACTCCAAACGCCCGCGAACCTCACTGCTAATTAGCTGACATGTGTATTGTCCCCGCGCTCAAGATTTCGAGTTTTTTCATGCACAGAATGTTTTCTCCCAAAAGCGCTGACCTAGATTCATATATTGACTTTTTTCACAGTTCGCTCTCCGTTCTCTTAGTTTATTCTTTTTTAATCAATGTTTCCCTTTTTACTTTTCGCTTTTGCATGTTTTTTCCCTATTAATAATTTTAATGACAATAAAAAAATAAATAAATAAATAAAAAAAAACTCCCCACTTTTATTTATTTTTCTATTTTTTAAAATTATTATTATCATTTTTTTTATTTTTATTGGGCAAGCTCTCCATTTAGTCTTACCATTTTCTACTCAGCAATGTGTTCTTCAAAGGACTATTACCAGACCGGAGCTAACGGCTGCTTCGTAGCCAAGGAGCTCCACGAAATACAAATCGTCGTAATTTGTTTAGTAAATATGTAAGTTAACTGCTTGGCGTTGTTTAGAACTTTTTTCGTTTCGATTCAAAATTGCATCAGGATTTTATGAATGATTTGGTTGATTAAATTTGTTTTGCCGTTTCATGGGGGGAGCGCCCTGTACAGGAGGTCGGCCGCCAATCTCCGGATTCTGGCGCCAAATTCCCATCGCTGAGAGGGCGATAAATGAATGTCATGGTTCTCGATAACCCTAAAGTTTGAGCTGGAAAGTGGGGGAATGTTCTAGCTTCTTAAAATTCTTAAATTCCTTTACACGCACAATATAATGTTAGATATTCTTGATCTTCTTTTATTTTGTGCTCAGAACTTCCTTCTGGTATGCGAAAGGTAAAGTTGACAACGTCATTTTTTTTCTTCTATGATTTCTTTTGAAATTAATTTTTTTTTATTTTGGTTAAAAAAATCGAATACCACTGATTTCTTTATAACTTCTTTAATTTATTAATTAAATGAGATATAAATTAATGCTATTATCATTAATAGGTTAACATTTTCGGTCTGATTTCTGTTTTGATAATTTTTAAATGAATCAGTTGAAAATTATTGTAAATGTGTAGATGGGGAAAAAAAAAAGCAAATTGTTCTTATTAAAATAGAAATTCATGAAATGAAATTAACATGAAAAGAAAATAAACAATTTACCATAACTTTCTGTATCAGAAGATGCAAATAAATCAATAGCATTTCAAAATTAATAGAGATTTTAATTATTTGATGACAAGCAAAAAAAATAATTTATATTGTCTAAATATTTATTTAAAGACACAGAAAAATGTAAAAAATTTGTGTTATTGATTTCACGAAAGCTGTAGTGTAAGAATTGTATTGCTTTCATTCATTTTTATCATTTAGTACATTTTTGTTGTTTGACAGAGTGTTCTTAAAATGAGAAAGTAATTTATATTTTTTAACAATGTTTATTTATTTAAAAAATAAGATATTCTTTATTTTTCATATATTTTTTTTATTGTGAAGTGTTATTTTTAGGTTTCATTATGGCAGTTATGGAATAAATCACTGGTTTATTTAGAGAAAATGAGTAGTTTGTGTCACCCTGTTTATATCTTTAAAATCTGTTTTTATTTTCTGAAAATAAAATAAAAAATTTCCCAATTTTTTTCAAGAATATTTTTCATTGAATTATTTTAAAATAGCTTTAATAGCCTAATTTTAAAATTTTAGCTTAATTTAAATAAATAGCTTAATTTTTGGTTTACACCATATTACATATCTTTTACTAACAAAAAAAGTTTTGATTCTAAAATACATTTTGCATGTGGTGTGCAAGTGCTCATTACTTTTAGGAGAATTTTTGAACATTTCTTCTTCTTTCTACATGAAACTGCAATTCACATAATATTTTAAATACATACCTATGTATAGTCTTTTAAGGATAAATTTAAATTGCTTGCTTAAATTGCTGATTGTTAAATTAATTACTCATACATATAGCTTTGAAATTGAATCCTCTCTAAAATATATGAAAATAAACAAACAATTTTTTATAGGAAGGATTCTGAAAATACTTCTTAAAGTCAAACTCAGTTGAATATGGTTGGTATAAACAGTTTGGAAAAAATGATATTAAGTAGAGAAAAATGTACTGTCATTCTTAATTTTTAAAGTCTTTAAGCAATAATTTAATAAGAATATGACCTAGTGAAAGAGCTTAATGTTAGTGGATCAGTTGCATTGAAAATAATTTTAAAGTAATCAATTTGATTATTTAGAAAACTTTATGCAAAAAGAAAATAGATTGAAGGGGGACTTTAGTCTTTCTAGTCAATAAAAGGAAAATAATATATATATACATTATTTATTTTTATCTATATTTAATTTCTTATATAACTAATTAGGAAATTGTTTGTAATTTTTTTAATGCTGTTTCATTCTTATATCTTACAAATAATAGCAATGACAATTTTCTTATTTTAATATTTTTTAGCAGCAGAAGAAATAATAGGGGATTTCAAAGGCAAGCATCTGTTTTGAATCCGCCAGAGCAGAGCACTGATACTAATAACTGCCATTGTTGGAACCGATTATGGTTCGTTCAAGATATGTGGGATCGTTTGTGCCGTATTAACATGGATGCTGGGCCTCTATGCAGAATATGTAGTCATTTTCGTCATCCTGTTACCATCACCTTATCTTTATTACAGTGCTGTAAATTGTGTCATCTTTCAAACCTTAGCATTCCTGGCTATTACTTCACATCTCAGAACTATGTTCTCTGATCCAGTATGTATTTAACATAAAAAATACTATTATCTATTATTGATTTATATGTAAAATAAAGTTCCTTATCGGCATTGATATTTTAAAGATATATTTCAAAATAATTTTCTTAATAAAAGTTATTAATTACAATAAATAAGTGTTATTTTTGGATTATAATTTTTTTTACGCTTCTTATTTATTTAAACTAATATTTACGATTTTGTTCTCAAGCTGGCTCTTTTTTTTAAAGTAGGCATTCAGATTCGTGGATGGTTGATCAAACAAAAAAATTTTAACGAATATTATCACTGCTGTGAAAAATTAATTATTTTAATTTAGAATGATTTAATAAATATTTATGCACTTAATTTGCATATCCAAGAATGAAATTAAATGGGGTTTTCTACATTTAGGGTGCTGTACCTAGAGGTAATGCAACCAAAGAAACAATTCTACAAATGGGCCTGTGTGAAGGCCAGGTGATTTATGTTGTTGTTGTTGTTTCTTATCCCACTTGGCTGGCCAAGCCCATATGGACTCATGATTGAAGGGGAAGGAAGCAGCTTCTGTTGTGATGGAGCACCCGTAGGTAGAAGCCTGACTTTTGCTCCGTGACGCTCTTACAGTCATAGGAGACCGGGACCTACGGCTTAAAGTGGATTCCGAACCACTACAAGCATCCATGGCACCGCCGGGATTCGAACCCGAAACCTGCGGCACCGAGTGCTAGACACTCGGCCACCATTCAGGTCCCAAATTTGCCAACAGCACGCAGTGTTCCCAGGTGGTACAAGTACTGACCGCGCCCAATGATGCTTAACTTCGGTGATCTAACGAGAACCGGTATATTCAGCATGGTACGGCCGTTGGCTAGGTGATTTATAAGTGCCCTAAGTGTTGTTGTATTAAGCCAGATAGAGCTCATCACTGTAGTGTCTGTCAGAGATGCATAAAGAAAAATGGATCATCATTGTCCTTGGGTTAATAATATTGTGTAGGAGAAAAAAAATCACAAGTATTTTGTTCTTTCACTGTAAGTATTCTTTTTTGAACAAGTTAAAATACATGTTTAATTTATAAGTCTTTAATAGCAAAAATAGATTTGTAGATGCTGAAATGTAATTTTATAGCTGTGAAAGCAAGCTGTAAAAAAAAAAAATTGCAATATTTGGAATTATTAAGCAGTTTTCATTTCATCAATAAATAGGAAAACCTGGAACATTTACTACTTTTTTTAAAATTTTCTTAATCTGTGATTAGAATTTCAATACATAAATACTGACTTATCAGTATGTCACCAAAACCATATTTGCATATATATATATATATATATATAATTTTACTTTGGTATTTGCTATTTTTTTCCTATTGGCATGAAAATGATTGTTAGAATGAAAACATTTAGAAGTGAATAAATTATTTTAAATTGAAATACATATGAAATTGTAAAATTTCTAAAACTTTATTTTTAAATAAAATATGTGGTTTTTAAATTTCTTTTTTTTTTTTTTAACTGCATATTGTTTATTTTTAATTCAATTACAGTTGATACATTTTAGAAACACTGAAAATAGGTAGTATAAATAATTTCTTGTCTGATTTGAAATGAATTATCATTTATTATATGGAAAAAAAAAAGGAAAGGAAAATTCCCAAGTTTACTGCTCATATTAAATATGCCTGTTTGAAGGCTTTATTTAAGTTGAGAAAAGGAAATATTCTGTTTTTTATTAAGATAGAGTAGAAAAATGTAATAATATATTTTTAATGAAAAATATTAATGAAGGGGACTTTATGGTATCATTAAAATATTCATACAAAGGATTTTTTTCTTTCATGGAATTTGTTTTAAAATAAAACTAAAAAGCTATAAACTTAATAATAAATAGAAATTATTTAAACTTATTTTTATTATTGATAACTAAAATTTTATTTAAAAGTAATGTAATAAGAATTTAAATTTAGCTTAATTGAAATTTGTGTAGATTACTATAAATTATAATTGTTATTAACTATTAATTAATTAATAACAATTATAATTATTAATTGTTATTAGTAACTATTAAAAATTATTTATTATTTTGTTATTCATGTTGTTTTCCAATTGAGAGAGTTAAAAATAATCATAGAGTGATTCTGTTAATATTCGGTTGTATTACCTTTTTAATAACTTTTTAAAATATAAAGTCTCCTTAATTATTAGTTTTTGTTAATTATTTTAAAAAAATTAAATAATAAATGCTTATTTTTCTGAATTATTTTCTCTTATCTATAATTTTAAAGATGGAAAACTTTTTCCTAATAATAATCATGTACTTTTTTATTAATTATGAATGAAAATTTTCTAAAAATATTTGATATTACAGTTTTATAAAATTCGGAGAGATTGACAAGTTTCATCTGTATTTAATATTTTTTAACATTTATTTTTATTATTTATTTTAGTTTTATATAGCTGTGATATCTTCTCATGCCTTTTTCCTTGCTATCAGTCACTTCATTATGTGTGTTAATAATGACTAGAATAGTAAGTGATTAATTTTTATTTCTAATTCATTAGTTTTGTTATTTTGTACTTTAGAAAGTCTTATTAATTTATAATGAAATTACTAATTTCTAAAATAAATATACTTTCATATTGTTTAAAAGCTCACGATTTACATAATTACAGAAAATTTTACTCTTATAACTATAATTTACTTTTTAACTTTAATTATTTTTTAAATAACATAATTTTTAAAACCATTTAACAATTATTTGTAGATTATATATCTAATTTATTATCTTCAATTAGAATTGAATGAAACATTTGCATGTAGTTTTTATTTTATATCTGAGCATTAAAAATCAAATATCTGTCTATATATATATAACATTCAGTTGTATATATACACATTGAGAAAATGTATAGTGGCTAATTTTTTTATTATTTTCATAAAATTTTTTTAAATTATTAAAATTGGACAGTTATATGAGAATGGGTGTATTGTTATGATTTGACTTTTAATTGCATGAAATAGTTATACTTAGTGTTTTAATTAATGCTAATCTACTCAAATAATTAACAAATTGTTAGCACGAAAAAAATTGTTTCTGGGTGTTGAGTAATTTTATTTTAATTTCCTTCATTTCTGATTTTCAGCCATATTGTAATTTTAAAAGTGTGCCAAGTATTGATAAGGAAAACATGAAGTAAATTACTTATATCTTACAACATAGTAAGTAAACATGTTATAAATTAGGTACTTTGAATCTTGAATTTATAAAATTTATTAAAATCGACTATAGTAATAGGGGTGAAAAATGTGCTCCAAAATTCATCCCTTGCTACATTCTGCTACAAAAACGGCAAATGTTACATTTTTGCACTAAACTGTGCCCAAAATGATATTTACTTTATTTTGATTTTGTAACCCAGAAAAATAGCCAAATATGAATGAGCTTATCTTCAGCCTTCATATAAGATCGTTAATCGTAAGAGGGGCTTTTATGACGTTTTTGCCGGCGATAGGATTTATTGCATACCCCATAGGGTAAAAAATTATTTTAAATCATTGAGTTTATATTGCGGTGCCACCTATTGTTCTTTATAAGAACTAATAGGATAAATAATTTGTTTTTGAGCATATACTACTAAACATTTCTACAATAATTATTTCAAATGAATTTAAATTATTTTCAAATTTTATTAATATTTTACATTTGTAAATTATTAACTATCATGCATAATTTTTTTTAATTTCTAAAAATTGATGCATTTTTCAATATGTTTTGTTTGTCCCTTTCTGATTTATTATCTTGTCAAATATCCAAATTTTAAAATAATTTTATTTTTAACAATAATTTACAAATTAGCTGTAATCTGTCAGCACATGTTATTCCCACAGAAAATCTACCTGTATATTATATCTTGAAATAATAAAATTCTCAAAAATAAGATTTTTTAAACAATATTTATGACATTTATCCATTATTTACCTATATATAATTATTCTTCATTCTCTATATGCATAACATATTGGGGGTTTATTTGGGTTACATTTTGTATTTTTTCAGAAATTGGATACATATAATTTTAAAACTAAAAAAACAATACTTTTGTTTATACAAATAAAACAAATTAGAGTAAGCATATAAGTATCTTTTTTCTTACTCAATCAATACTCATGTATTGGTTGATACTTTTAAATTTTATTTCTTACTACCATTTATTTAAGATTAATTTGTATTTCAATTAAGTAACATTCATTGCAAAAATAGCATGCCAAAACAAAATATATTTTTTCTATTAAATTATTTAATAATCTTATTTTTATATGAAATCCATTAAAAATTGGTACAATATTTCCATTAAAAAATATTTGTTGCTTAGAATTTCAAAATATTTAAAAGTTGCAATTGTGATAAATAAAAATTGTTTGCCTTTAAAAATTACAAAATGTATTAATAAATAATTATTTTATTATCTATGCATTAAATAAAAAATAATTTTTAACATTCGATTCTATTTCTAATTTACTTCTTATTGATGTATGTATCAATAAATTAGCTTCATATTGAATTTCGAATATCATACGAAATTATTGAGTTTTAATTTTTTTTTTTATATCAATCATATGATTGGTAAATAATATAAAATTAGTATATGCCTTGAAGTCTGAAGAACGTTAATGTAAAAATATACTGTTACAAAACCACTGAGAAAGCTTCTATAAAAATGTAATTTACCATGCTACGAAACCACTGAAAGCTGCTACTGATTTTCCACCCCTGAACTTACCTTCTTTTCATTATTTCTTATATACTTTCTAATTAAAATTTTCGCCCTGCAAATCCATTCTCTTAATTTTACCTCATTTTTTTTTTTTTATTTATTTTTTTTTTTTTAAATTTTTGCTGGATTAAACATATTAATAATTATAATAAATTTTATTCGATGAGTATAAATATGCAAATAAAATGTAATTAATAAATATTAACAAATCATATACTGCATTTAATTGCTAAATGAAAAGACTATGTATCATTGTGTAATGGTCTTTTTACTGATTTGATCTCTCTTGCATAGGTATCTTCTGTTGCTAGTAACTATCTCTTAATCTCAAGCTGGCTTACTAGCTTTTAGCAAAGTAAGACTTCTTATCAATTAAAAAAAGTTTTTTAAACCAATTAATGTATTAAATTATGAAGACATTGCAAAACATAAATGAATAATGTCTAAAAAATAAAGAAATAAAAAAATATTAAAAAGTAAAAATATAAAAAAAAACATATAAATGTGTTCCATCTTTAAGTACAAAGAATTTCAAAATAACTATTAATTGCTGTTTTCAATGGCTATAAAAAGTGCATGTTAAAATCAACCTATGTTCTGTAACATCTTCATTTTCTTTTAAACAGTGATGTACAAGTGCTTTTCAGGGCTCATTTATATTAAATATATGTAAAAATAACTTTCTGTTAATATTTCTAAGACTTCAGTATAGAATTTATCAGAACTCTTGGTATTCGTTAAAAAAAATTACAGATTTTTAACCACAAAATACTTATATTTACAAATAATGCTTTTTCAACTGTTATAAGTGCCAAACATATAACGATTATCTGGCTTATATATATACATATATATGAAATTAAATGCCAACATAATCAGAAATTCTGAAAATTTTACAAAATCTAATATTTGTGCATACAATACATTTTATTAATAAAGAAAACACAAATAACTTGTATAGACAAGTGATGTGTAATTTACATGCTCAATTTCATTACGTTTCATGTTATACATATTCCTAAATGTTTCATTTCTAAATTTTGTTGTGTTTTTTCAGTTGCGTCCCATATTTTAATAATAATATTGATAAGTGA